CCTGCCAACCAGGACAGCCTGGACCAGGCCTGCCTGCCCACTGTCTTTCAGGCTGTTCAGCACACATCGGGAGGGGGTGGCCATTACCCCAGAACACTACCTCATCCACCTGGCAGAGGGAGCTTGCCATTGCTTTCTGCTTCAGCCTCCAAGCAGTTTCCTGTGTCCCTCATCCAGAGGGGGCCCTGGCCACCAACAGTTCCAAGCAGAGTCAGATGTCTGTTGTTCCACTGGCCAGCGGCAGCATGGGCAGTGCCCATTGCCCACAGGATGGTGGAGAGAAGGGGACAGGCTGGGGGTTCCTGGTCCCCAGGAAAGGTGAGGATGCAGAGCTGTAGCTGGACTACCCAATCTTCCTGGAAGTGTTTCTAAAGAGCACCACTTTTTGTCGTTTTTTTTTTTTGTTTGTTTGTTTGTTTTTTTTTTTAAGAAAAAAATCTTTTATATATTAAAACAAACAACTTATGCACCAACTGTGAATGGATGCCACCTGCGCAGATCCCCAGGGGCTCCCGGTGCGACACTGGAAATGACTGTTTCAGGGGACAGAAAATACTCTTCTGTCCCCAGCACAGGCCAGCCTCCAATAGCTGCTGGGACTGGCTCAGAGCCCAAGGGGGCTGGGCTGGAGGGGAAGGCTGGGACTCTCTGGAACATTCTTTATAATAAAAGCCTGCCGGGAAAACCTACTATGGGCTTCAGCCTTTGTCCTGAGACGGCCGAGGGGGCAGATAGGGCTGTCTCTTCATCCTGCTTATGGCAGAGGGGAAGTGCAGAGCCTGACTGCCTTAGCCATGGCCTTGGGGCAGACCTCGCTTCTGTGTGCACCCTGTGGACATGTATTCCCGTGGACAGCCCTGACGCCTAGGAAGGTGTTGCCACCTCACATCGGTGCTGTGCTGTGCCTGGAACCCAGAGCCCTGTTCTGGCTTAAGCTTACACTCTCACCTGAGCCACACCCAGCCCCCACATCCTTGTCTTTATTCAAACCTAAGAGAAGCAGACATTTTGTCCCCCTCATTTTGGAGATGTAGAAAGGTTTCAAGAGGTTACACCGCCAGGAAGGCCAAAATGAGGACGGGACAGTTGGATCCCTTTCTCCTTACCCAAGTTCCCCCAGGCAAGTTCCACCTCCAACTTGGAGGGCAGTCCAAAATGACCATACTCGTGCCCCAAATCTCTCCTCTGGTCTTAGAACTTACACCCCACGTTTGAGGCAAGGAATCAGTTTCCCCAAGAGTACAGCTGCAGCCTGTACTCTCTCCACAGCGGTTTCAGCGCCTGAGCACAGCACATCTGACCTGGAGTGGTGCCCACTGACCCACCTGGGCCCCCAGTTCCTCAGGGCTCAGCCAGTGAGGTTCTTCCCAGAAGCAGGGTGTGGCCAAGCCAGCCTAAGTGATGGCTCATCAAAAAGGAAAGTCCCCTCTGTGCTCACCAAGAGTGAGCCAGGACCAAAAATTCCCAACGACAAAATCCAAGACCCAGCCTAGAATTTACCAGCTCAAAAAAAAAAAAAAAAAAAGTGAACAACCTCTCACACCAAAAATAGCTTTTTCCTGTGCTGGCTGCTGGTGGAGAAGCCATCTTTATCTTTCAGCTCTCTGATGCTGAGGATTCTTATTAAGGAGCAGATTTTCCAATTTCAATTATTGGCAGATTTGATGGGTTTGGTGTTGTTTTTTTTTTTTTTCCTCCTTGAAGAGGTGTGACTCCAGAATGGATTCACAAATTCCTGAACAAAAAATACAACTACAAAAATCCCAGGAGAACAAAAGCCCCTCGTGCTTGCCGGGATGTCACACAAGGTGCTGGCCACACACAAGGCCAGAACACTGTTGCCTGAGTGGGGCCAGGAGTGAAGATGGATCAATGCACACTCCATTCTGAAACCTGACTTTTCCCTTTCGCAACAATATGTCAGGAACATCTTTCAAGTCATTAAATATTCCACAGTCTGGCTGCACATCTCATTAACATACAGCTCCTTGCTGACATTCAGAAGGGGGTCTGTGCACAGATCTAGTTTCCAGGGTCACAAGCGTTGCCAGGTGGGCAACCTCCAAGAGCTTGCTGCAGTCCTTGCCTGGGACCCCAAAGACACACCTGGCAGCCATGGTACAGTACCCAGCTAAGATTGCAAAGTCGGGGGAAACACCACAGAGGAGGGCGGTGTCCCAAGTCTCTAAGATGGCGTGAGGCTGATGGGTCCTAGCTCCTGGAGGCAAGAAGCTACAGGCTGTCCTCACCGTGCAGGGGGAGAGGCAAAAGCCCAGCTTCTGCTTGGGAAGTGCCAGCCTGCCATCTGCCGGGTACCCCTCGGGGCCTGCTGATAGGCACATTACAGATACCCTGGGGAGCCAGTGGAACTAGACACAGCTTCCTGTGGGTCTCCAGAGAGAAGCGGCGGGCAGCAGAGAGGCCCGAGCCTTATACTGGGTACTTGGACTCCCTGGTACTGTCTGCCGCCTTCCCAGGTGTCCCCACAGTTGAGAATGCCCTTCAGACGCACCTGTCCCTTTGTGCCACCCTGTTGGCCTTCAAGGCATCCTCGCCTCAAACTCACCACGTCACCACCTCACCCAGAACCATGACATAATTTCGACCCCTTTTCTCCATCTGGCTGCCACCAGGCCTTACCCACCATATTGAAGGCCATTTCTTCCCTCATCTGCCAGGGGCGCCCTGGCAGGCTACCTGTGTCGGCCATGCTCATATGGGCCCCCATCTCCTCCTGTTCTTTAATCTTTCCTTATCAACTATGACAGTCAACCCACGGAGCCCATCCTTTGTGACGCCCTTCATGGTGCAGACTGCCCCATCCTGTGACCCTACCTGTGAGTCCTGTCACATCATTCCCACATTCAGACGCTAAGAGCAGCAGCAGCAGCAGCAGCAGCAGCAAGCAATTTGCTCAGGCATTTGTCATGAGGACATTGTCCCTTTCTGGCAGGGAGAGCTAGGAGGTGCTGCATTCCCATGGCGGCAACGGCCGGAAGCTTAGCAGGACTGAACTGGGTGCCTCGGCTCTCGGTGGGTGGCATGGGCTTCCCTACGGCAGGAGGGATGTCTGAAAATACAAGAACTTTCACAAGTTAAAACTTACCAGCGTGCGTGCACGTGTGGAGTCCAGAGGTGGACACGCTGGCTTTCTTAATCACTTCCCTCCCCTCAGCCCCACCCTTCTGTGTATGTATGCGTGTTCGCATGCCTGTAGGCACATATATGTATGAGTAAGCACATGGGGCGTACATGGGCAGGTCCATGGTTGACGTCAAGAATCATCCATAAGCCAGATGCGGTGGTACACACCTGTAATCCCAGCACTCTGGGAGGCAGAGGCAGGCAGATCTGAGTCCAAGGTCAGCCTGGTCTACAAAGTGAGTCCAGGACAGCCAAGGCTACACGGAGAAACCCTTTCTTGAAAAAACAAAAAGAATCATCAATATCTTCCTCCTTATTCACTGAGGCAGTCTTGGTCAAACCCAGAACTCACCGATAGGACTAGTCTTGCTAGCCAGCCTACCCTGAAGGTCCCATTTAAATTAGGATTTTTGTGAAGATGGAACTCCCTGACCAACTTGGGGAAGAAAGGACGTGTTTCAGCAAGGGCTTTAGCCACCGAGTTACCTCTCCAGCCCACCACTGTTTTTTTGGAGACATTTGACTTCTCTCCCTCGATCTGGAGCTTGTCATTTCAGCCTGTTTGGGTATTGAGGTCCTGGTATTCTCCTGTCTCCACCACCTGGCACTGGGGTTATAGGTGTGACACCCAGCTTTCTAGGTAGGTAGTCAGGATTCACTTATGTGGCCAACACTTTACCCAGATCTTCTGAAGCTGGAGCCTTAGATTTGTCCCGTCATTTTCACCTGCCCTCTGGTCAAGCAAAGCAGAACTCAGACTCAGGGAGAGGGAGCCGACTCCACCTCTCCAGGGCAAGTGTCCCCATGACCTGTCCTCACCCTTTGGGCCATGGCCACATAGGGTGCGTCAAACAGACCCCTGGCCCCAGGGCCTGGGATGGTTGGTCTTGATGGCCAAGTTGACTAGATTTGGAATCACCTAGGGAAGCACCTCTGGCCGCGTCTTCAAGGGCATTTCCTTCCAGAGAGGTGTTAAGCGGAAAGACCCACCCAGAATTTTGGTGGGAAATCCTGTGGGCTCGAGTCCCACACTGAGTAAAAAGGAGAAAGCGAGTGAAGAGTCAGCACTTGCTTGCCTCTCTCTGTTCCCTGGCTATAATGTAAGCTAATCACCTCACTCTCTCCTGCTGTGCCTTTTCTGCCATGGTGGACTATGTCCCTTGAAGCCATGAGCTAAGATAAACCCTCCTTTGCTTAATTCTCTTCTCTCAAGTACTTTGTCATAGCAACATGGAAAGTAACACATTCAAGGCCCTTCTCTTGCCAAATATGCTTCCATCCATACTTGGGGCCCTGTTCAGTGGCCTTCCCCTATCTAGACGGCTAGCAAGACGGCTCACTGGGCAAAGTTGCTTGCTGCCAAACTCGATAACCCAAATTCGGTCACCAGGACCCACGAAGTGGAAGGAGAGGACTCCCTCAAATTGTCTGACCTCCACACACACACCACGACACACCTACATCTATACATACTACATCAACTACAGTTGCAGCCAGCTGTGCACTCCCCCGGAGACACCAGTGCTGGTTGCCCAAGCTGTAGTCCATCTGACTCTCTGGGCTGAGGCTTGTCCACGGTCGCACTCAGGAGGAAGCTTGCAATGGTCACTGGTCCCTCAAGTCCTCCATCCCTCCTCCTGCAGCCGGGAGGCTCTTTCCAAAGACGCCGGCAGCTCTACATCCAGCTCTACCCTCTTTGGTTCCCAAGTGCTCAGAATCCACCTCTGCCCCCTGCCCCACAGTCCAGTGTGCTAATGTGTGAACAAAAAGAAGTCTTTATTGATAAATTATGATTAAACATGTGACAGTTTTTTAGGGAATAAAAGCTCAGAGTTGCCGTCTCCTCAACCATAGCCCTAGCTACTAGCCTCGGCCATTTTGCTAGGAGCCTTGGATGAGGTCTTGGGGGGTAGCGCGGGCCTTTTGGGGTTCTCGGGATTCTTTGTCTTTCTGACCCTATGTATGGGTTGTGCTTTGGGTCCCAAGTCCTGGAAAGGAATGGGTATGTTGGTCTTGTGTATCATCCTAGGCCCCTCAACAACTGTCTCAATGTGGGCCGTGGCTGCCATCTTCGTTTTGGTTAGCGAAGCAACACTATTCTTTGCCTGTAAGAAAGCAAGCCCAGTGGTGGGGAGATGGCTCGGCCAGCAGAGACCTCACTTCCCAGAACCTACATACAGAGCCCAGCAGGATTTGAGACCCCGGAGGGAAATAGGCATCTACTTACCTTGCTGGCTGAAGGCTTTGTTTTCTCACACATCTCTTTGGTTTTCCTATGGGCTTCTGCCTCTGGAAGATAAGAGGGAGTAGTGAGATGAGGGGGCAAATGGTCTACGGCCTCTAGAGCTTCCAGCCTGCCTAGGTCCGGGGTTGTCACCTGGACACCCGAAGGCCATGTGACCTGGGCCAGATGTTTTACCCCTGAGTCTCGGGCCCCAATTTGAAAATTGGACAAGATGCTCTCCCTACTCAACGTGGGAACGTTGAAATAGAACTGCCTCCCCTATGCAGGTTGAAGAAAGGCCAGTCCCATCAGCTTTGTTGCCTTCCTGCCCATAGTGGTACTTAGGTTTTGTTTTTGCAGGAGGGTAGGGTTGGTTGAGATAGGGTCCCATGCAACCCAGGCTGATTTCAAACTGGATATAAAGCTAAAAATGTAGCCTTGAACTTCTGACCCTCCTGCCTCTTATCCCCAAGTGCTAGGATTATGGGTATGTACCAGCTTCCTCGATTATCTTAAAACTGTCACTCTCTGCTCCCTGCCCTTTGCCATTCAAAACTCCCTTGGACTTCTCTTAACCCCACTGCAGCTCTTAATTTCTTGTCTGTTTTTTTGTTTGTTTGTCCAGAAAGGGTTTCTCTGTGTAGCCTTGGCTGTCCTGGACTTGCTTTGTAGACCGCTCTTGGCCTTGAACTCACAGAGATCTGCCTGCCTCTGCCTCCTGAGTGCTGGGACCACAGGTGTGAGCCACCACTCCTAGCTTCTTTTTGCACAGAAGCCTCTGGGCTGCCTCCACCAGGAAGCCTCCCCTGACCCTGCCATGAGGCCCTCCTTTTCTTTATCCAGGTCTAGCACTCAAGGCCCACTTCTTAAAAAGGGAAGCCCTCCTCATCCTATCTTCCCCCAGTGGCTGCTGGCAACCACCTGTCCCTGACATCCATTCACACCTTGCTCCCACCATGTTTGACCTTCTGACCTATGTTAGCAATGGGAGGGGCCCCTGTGGCTTTGTTGGTTTTAGGGTACCCATTCTGTTCTCTCCCAGTTTTGCCTTACTGGCTTTCTTAGGTGCCTTCTCCAAGGTGGGTGCTATGCAGGGACAAGCCTTCCTCTTCTGTCCTGGGTTTGGAACCGCTTTCTCCATCTTGGCCTTGTTGACATGGTCTTTCTTCAGCTCCCTAGCTTTCTTGGGACCGGTCTCCTTGGCATCTGTGGCTCCCCTGTGAGCTTTCGGGGCACAGGCTCCCTTTATCTTGTCCTTGGGAACCAGCTAAAGAGAGAGTGTGAGGTGGGGGTGAGAATGGGAGTTCTGGGTATCCCCATACCCCACATAGCACACCAAAGGGCCAGCCATGTCTCCAACAGGGTTAAGAAGAGAGTTGTGAGAAGGGACACATCCACCTCTGGGGTCCTCATCACATTTCAGCTGGTGTTAGCCTGTCATGTCCCTGGACTGCCTCACTGCTCACTAAGGGTCTGTGTCTGTCCTCATCCACTTAGCTTTAAGCTTCACTCTGCCTCACCTTCTCTTCCTGTCCCCCCTGGAGGGGACATGGCTGAAATCCCAGCTTCCCGCAGATCTGAAAAATCGAGTCTCTATCGAACCACCTGCCTCCCACACTCCAACCAGTCTCCAGCAGAGCTCCCCGGTGTTGGGACTTCCCAGGAGCCACAGGCATCACCTGTGGCTAGCAGAGACTTCCCCGTCATCCCCCCTAGAAGCTGTGGGTCCATGGCTACGTGATGGACATAGGCAAGAAGCCACACCGAGAGCCTGATACTGTCCAGGCTCCCACACCACACAATATGGGGCAGCAGAGGGTTGTGGAGGTGGGGGCTAGGGCGAGAAGCAGCATGTGCTAAGGGTCTGATGTCTAACCATTGCACCAAAGGCCCCCCCCCCTTGTTTGTAGCTCACTTTGAAGCTGCCAGTAGCACCCTTGGCCTTGGAGTTGACAGGCCTGGTAAGGAGGCCTCGACGCATGCCAGTTTCCAGGGCCTGTTTCAACAGGTACTTGAAGCGGGCGGCATCCACTGTCGGGTACTTATGTTGGATGTAGACTTTGATGGCTACAACTGACGTGCCCTGGCGTTTCTCTTTGGCCTTCAGAGCCTCCAGCACCATGCGGAGCATGGGTGGGTTCCGTTGGCCTACTCGGACTCTGCTGAGACTTGGACCTATGGGATAAATGGTAGGGCATCACCCAGCCTGCCCTCTACCCCAATCAAGGCCTGGCTTTGTCAGAGCACACGTGAAGAGCCAGCTCTCTGTGAGTGTCTCTGGTTGCCAGTCTGCAAGCCTTGCACGGATCACTGTCTCCTCGGGCCTCCTCATGTTCCCATCCTTTTGAAGAATATTCCCTCGAAGAGGCCATCCTGGATGGGTGAGCTGTCCATGGGTATCTACAGCTGTATATGGACTCAGCAGATCAGGGAGCTCAGTGAGGCCCATGTTGGCTTCTTTCACACACAAGAAGGCACCAAGGACCCTACGGACCAAAACACTGGGAAGGCAACATCCCTGCCAAATGCTGTAGGGCCCTGTTCAGACTCGGAAGGACTCAAAACAACCACCCTGGAAATTCAGGCATGGCGGGGACACACCTGTTACCCGAGGACTCCAGATACGGAGGTGGAAAGATTGCTATTTCCAGAGCGGCCCGAGGCTACAGAACAAGGTGGTACCTCAAAAATGGGATATACACAAGCCCAAAATCCAACTGGACAAAGAAACAAAGCAACCAAATATCCCACTGAAATGGGAGGCCTGGCACGTGCCTGAGATAACCCCGTGGGTAAGCAAAAGCAGCCACAGCTGAGGACCACAAAGCCTGATGGGCACAAAGGAGGGACTCAGCTGCTTCCATCCTGCTTCGCTCCCAGTCTCGGAAGTTTTCCTCAAGATATTAGCATCAGCTGTGGCTCCTAGACTTTGTAGATCTAAAATCTTGTGACCACAGATGGAATGAAAGTAGAAGTAAAATTGTCTAGAGAGCAAAGGAGGAATGAGAAGGGGAAAGGGGGGAGGATTTAGGGGACTATGCTCACACTCAAAGTATATTATGTACTCGCTTGAAAATGGCCTTGTGGGCTGGAGAGATGACTCAGAAGTTAAGAACACTGACTGCTCTTCCAGAAGACCCAGGTTCAGCTCCCAGCACCCACACGTCAGCTCACAACTGTCTGTAACCCCAAAAGCTGACACCTACACACTGACAGACATACAGGCTAAACACCAATGTGCATAAAATAAAAATAAATTATTTAAGGAAAAAGAAAGAAAGAAAAGGGCCTCGTATATGGAATACTAAAACTAATAATAAAGGGAACCAGCAAAATGGCTCAGCAGGTAAAAGAGCCTTTGCTGCCAGGCCTGACCATCTGAGCAGGTCCCTAGAACCCACAGTGGAGAGAGAAAACCAATTTCACAAAGTTGTCCTCTGACCTCTACACGCACGTATACATACACACACACACACACACACACACCCCCCTTGGGGAGGGGATTGAGACAGAGTATTATGTAGGCTCTCCTTGGCCTGGAACTCACTACATAAACCAGGTTGGCTTTGAACTCAGAGATCCACTTTTCTCTGCCTTTCAAGTGTGAGCCATTGTGCCCAGCTCACACCAATACTTTTTTTTTTTTAATGTTTGAAAGAAGCCTATTTCGGAGAAAGGAAAGTAAAAACAGTCACGTTCCTAGAACATGCCACTCCCCGCCCCCCCCCAAGTGAAAATGTAAGCAAAGACTGGTACATGAGGACGGTGGAGTATGGCCACTAGTGGTAGAGTACGTGTTGAGTGTGCATGAGTCCCTGGGCTCCCTCCCTAGCCCACTTCAGTGTGCATGAGTCTTTATTCCCAAGAGCCCAAACAAAGAAGCCAGCCAAATGCCTGTTTGTGGTCATGTAAATGCAACGGAACACTACTTGGCCATAAAGGACCGACTGCAATGTAAGATACTACAACAGGGCGAGCTTCTAAATAGAAGAGGAAAAGCCAGATGCAAAGCCGTGTGTGGGATGATTCCCCCCCAGACACAGGTGGAGTGAGGCGGGGAGTGATTGCTAATAGCTACAGTTCAGCTCTTCTTAGGCAATGATGGAACTCTCCAACAGACACCCTTGATGACATACTGAAGGTCACGGCATGCTGAACACGGAGGAGCCGTGCAGTCCAGGGATATTTTGAAATGGGCTGTTGGCTTGGAAAAGCTGCAAAGGAAAGGAGGATTTGGGGGAGAGAAGTGGGAGGAGCTGCCAGCCACAGGTGAATGCTTTCAACTCAAGAAATGATGCTATCGAAATCCTTTGCAAAATCCAGACTCAAAAGAAAAAAAAAAAGTTTTTAAGTAGAAAGAAAAGCAATGGGGCTGGAGAGATGACTCAGTGGTTAAGAGCACTGGCTGCTCTTCCAGAGGACCTGGGTTCAATTCCCAGTACCCACTTGGCAGCTCACAACTGTCCGTAATTCCAGTTCCAGCGGATCCAACCCCTCCACACAGATATACATACAGGCTAAACACCAGTGCATGCAAAAGAAAAAGCCGTGTGAAGCTACAGGTCACCAGCCTAAGGAATCCTGCATCAGGGCCACAGACAGCCCCTATCTGGACTCTTTACTGTGAGTTCCAAACCAGGAAATGGAGTTATCCAGCTTCATCCCCCTCCAGGACCAGGCCTCCTTCTGTGTGGTGGGAAGTCTCCTCTCTACCTTCGTGCACCTTCCCAGCTGCTGTCACCGGGCTATCAGGGACCTAGGCCTTGGCCTAAACTCAGAATTCCACTCCCCTTCTTACCTGGCTTGTCGGCCCCAGGGAGCTCAGATGACCCAGGAGGTGGTGTGTCCCTAGAGGGAGAAGAGGAGGAGGAGGAGGAGACGCTAATGACACTTCCTGGAGCCATGGCGCTGAGACAGCAGCAAATCTGGTGCTCGCTCAGGTGTCGGCCTCCAAAGCTCTCGCCTTAAATACCTCCCACTGCCAGCGAGCCAATGACCAACAGGGCCCACCACCTGAACGCCAGAAGCCGCCAATTGGGCCTGGAGATCTGAACAGAGCACCTGCCTCGAGCCCTGAGGCTGAGACCAGGATCTGAGGCCAAACAAAAATAAAGAGGCAGAGGCACTGTATCCTAGCCAGTGGTGCTGGCAGCCAGTGGGGGACACCTGAGTTGTGAGGTGCTCACAAGGGACCCCTAAGCCCACCAAGTGGGCAGTGCCAATTCGGACTACTGCTGGCCTCAGTTTTCCACAAAGTAACAACTGGGCCCACAGGAGGGGATTGCTTGGAGGCAGTGGCCTCTCCTGGGCCAGGAAGGTTCTCAGAGTCTTTCTTCCTTGTGTCATTTTGATGTTTTAGATTATACTGTCATTTGGGGTGCAGGGGAAATTGTGACACAGTCTTCTATGGCCTTCGCTGATGAGGACACTGTCCTTAGTGTCCTTGGCATTCAAAGACACTCACACTGGGACAGGGAGAAGACATTGTTTTCCTGACATGAAACACTGGCTAGGATGAGAGAACCAGCCGGCTGCCCCGTTAGGGCTATGACTTGAGAAGGGGTTTCCTTGAGAAGGGAGCCTGGCCGTTCCACCTCTTTCCTAGGAATGGCTTTGTCATCTAAAAGAATGAAAAAGAGAAGTGACTCACACAGGCCTGAGTAAGTTACCCCATCACTGTAAAATACGCTACAGCGTTTAGGACAAGATCTCATAAAGACCTGGTGGCTTGTGCCTGTCAGTCCAGCACTGGGGAGACTGAGGCAGGAGGCTAGGGAGTTCGAGGCTAGCCTGGAATTCATAGAAAATCCCTAACTCAAAGAGTCAAACCAAACAGAAACAAAACAGAGTGGATTAAAACAAGCTGTATCTCTCTCCTAGCTGAATGTCAATATTTCTCATATGAAATATGAGATAAGCGTTTCTCCTAGTGACTGTCAAGGATGTATGGAAATCACACAGGAGCTGCAAGAGCTGATGCACCAGCCACTTTAGAGGCAATTCAATATTATGGAGCAAAGATGAACTCGTGCCATGGCACACCCATCCTTCCCTATGGAGAAACGGGAACATACAAACAGGAGCTTTGTCCCAGCATCCACAGAATTTCAAGGCAAACTAAAAGCTTGTCAGGTAGAAACAGGCTAAGCCCACGGCAGCCTGTTCGTGGTGGAATAGTACACAGCTGTGAAAAAGAGGAGGCCAGCACTGAAGCAGGTCTACCAGGACTCATGCCACTGTGATAGCAGCAGTTACCTTGGGGAGGGTAGAGGTCGGAGGATGATTTAAAGTAGACGCACATGCTTCTCCCCTTTGTGTGTGATCTCTTTATTTTCTGGGATTTTTCTAGAGAACTCGCGATTATCACAGGTCTGGTTTGAGAAAGGCTGTGGCCCTCAAAGTTCTTTGCAGTGAAAACAGATCTCACTCCTTTTCTAGAACCTTCCATGGCTCCCTACTTCCTTTGGGGGGAACGTTTGAGATCTTCCATCAGGGGCTGGAGAGATGGCTCAGAGGTTAAGAGAAATGGCTTCTCTTCTAGAGGTCCTGAGTTCGATTCTCAGCAACCACATGGTGGCTCACAGCACTCTATAATGAGATCTGGTGCCGTCTTCTGGTATGCAGGTGTATGCAGATAGAACATTGCATACATTAAAAAATGAATAAATAAATCTTTAAAAAAAAAAAAGGTTAAAAGATCTTCCATCAGGCTCATGGTGCCTTCCTCACTCTTGAATTCCACAATTCAACCATACTAGGGGTTGTGGCCCAGTGGTCATATGAGGGCTTGGCATCTCTGAGATTCTGGGCTCAACAAACTTTTTAAAACTCACACACACCATGTGGTCTTTGACTGGGCTATGGCTAATACCAGGACATCACACTTTGTGCTTCTTCTGTGTCAAATTAATGTACAGATGGTTTCTAATGTACAGAGTGTCTATTTCTGCCCATAGCTATACCCACATGCAATGAGGCTTTGTAGATCTCAGCCTTAGCTCTGTGCTAGCCTTGGGCTGTGAGAGACCATGGAAATGGTGTGATCCGTACCCCACAGTCATGGGAATGAGTCCTGGCTGGTCTGCTGGCTGCTGAGACCCCCGGTCCAGTCACTTGTCACCCAGGCAACAGCCAAGCCTTCACTTGACCATGGATGCTTGAAGGAGCCCAGCAGAGATGCTCCAGGCTGGATCCCAATTAGCAGCAGCACCTGGCTAGTCCCTGGAGCGAGAAGCAATGACCTGTGGTCTGTTGCTTTAAACCGTAAATTCTGGGAGTGTTTGCCACACAACACAAGGTCGCTGCCACGCTAGCTCTAGAACGCCTCCTTTATTCCCACCTACCTTCTCTGGAATACGTCTCATTCTCTCTTGTAGGTAAGCTTTGCTCAGGAATGCCACCCCCCGGCCCAGCACGCTGAATCACAGCTCTGCCTTACCGGTCCCTGACTCTTGAGCTCTGCGGTGGATCAGGGCTGTCTCTGGCACCCAGCCAAATGCTGACACACAGTAGGCCCTCGAGACTTGCTTCTGTGGTGCTATGCCTCCAAGGAGTGAACAGGGACCTGCAAATGCCACTGGCCCAGTGCTAGACGGGGAAGGAGCTACGTACGGGGAGGCAAAGAGGCAAACGAAAGCTGGCACAAATGGGGGCCGCAATTTTGATCCATTTGTGGGGCGTTTCCAAGAACTGAGAAACGCAGAGACTCTGTGGTGTAAACATTCCCACGAGCTTTGCTGAAACCCCGCTCCCAGGCTGTGCCAGGATGGAGTTCTGTGTTGGGAAGGAAGTTTGGGAAAAACTCAGAGATCTAAAAATTCTCCAAGGAGCTTGCCACTTGACAGGGAGATGATAGCAAGTTAAGGAGATTGCTGGCAGAAGCGGTGCCCTCTGCCAGCCTCCCCCTGACTTCTCTGTGAGGCCGGGGATGGGGTGCTGCCTTCCTTCTGGAACCTTCTTTCCCAGCCCTGGGACTTGCTCCAGTTTCCGAGATAAAAGTCCTGAACTCTGAGCTGATCAGAGGCTCTCCGCTTCGTGTGGTGCCAGCTCCTATGCCATCAGGACATTGAGACATTTATTTCCTAGCTTTGGACAATCAGTGCATCAGGGTGGGGTGAAGTTGCAGCCCCTGCCATGCCTTGATAAACTGTATAATTTGTATTATACAATCGTATAAACTGGAATCTTCGTCATTTTATTTACACATGAAGAGGCTGAAGTTCAGACTGGGCAAGCCTTTGGGTGACTCGACACTCAGACCCGAAAGCCCTCTTTACTAAAGATGGGTGCAGTAATTCCCAAGTAACGATCCCTCCCTGCCTTTTGTTGTTGTTTCTTCGAGACAGGGTTTCTCTGTATAGCTCTGGCTGTTCTGGAAACTGCTTTGTAGACCAGGCTGGCCTTGAACTCATAGAGAGCTGCCTGCCTCTGCCTTCCAAGTACTGGGATTAGAGGCCTGTGCCACCACTGCCCAGCTAACCATTCCCTTCCCTGGCTGGTAAAAATCCAACAGCGAGGCAGCCCTCTGGGAGCCAGACTCCATCTCTTCTTCGCACTTAGGGACTATTTCATAATTCAACATGACTGCCGCAGCTCCGGTCAGTATGACCACATTCCAGCCAGCAGAAGGAAAACAGAGGAGAATGGGGGAAGTGGGGGGCGCTTCCGTTCTCTGAAATGCACAGCTCGGAGTCTGCATGCTCCTGAGCCACTGCAGATCAGAGGGAAGCTGTGGCAGGCCAAGCTAGAACTTAAGAAAAAAATGAAACTGGGCCACCTAGCGCTCTCTCCCTCCTTTCCTGGCACCGCCATCAAGCTTGTGCGTCCCCTCTCCACCAAGGCCACTTCTTCCGAACCCGGCCTCATCCCTGCACAGGGAAGCCATGTGCATTGAACAGCTGCTGTACAAAGTATCGCTCAAACTGAGGCCTCCTGATCCTTCTGACCTCATTTCCTAGGCTTCGGGTCACGAGCCCACACAGGGTCCTACCCCTGAACGTTGGGGCTGATGGAAACTTTGGGAACGGTAAAAAGTTTCTGAACATACACAGATGGCTCAGCTGGAAGGGACACTTGCTGGCAAACCTGAGTCCCAGCCCTGAGACCCATTGGCATTGGTGACACCCATGACTTCCAAAAGCTGTCCTCTGACGTCCACATCCACTCTGTGGCATACATGTGTCCTCCCTCCCCTGACGGATGTAATAAGCAAAATGTAATAAAAAAATATTTCCCATTAGTTCAAAATCAAACACATGCATGTGAGGTATTCCGGGCAAGGCTCACAAAGCCTTGGTTCTGAACATACTCGTGTGCTCCGGACTGCGCATGCCTTCACAGCACACAATGGCCACAAACTGCCTGGAACACAGCTCAGATTCCAGACGAGTGGATGTTGTGACCTACAGGGTTTGTTTGTTTGTTTGTTTTTGCCGTATATATAAAGTTTTCTGTGTTGCTGGAACACTAATGGTTGAATTGTGGAAAACAAGGACTTTCAATATTTTCCTACCAGCATCCCACAGCATGTCCTGAGCATGTCATGAGCTGTGTTTGGATGGCTGACTTGGGTTTCAGACATAAATCGTTCACTCGGGAGCTGGGGTGCTCTCCTAATCAGTAACATTTGCTGTGCAAGGATGAGGGTCTGAGTCTGGGACCCCAGAACCCATGGGAAAGCCGTGCACACCCCCATCTGGAACCCCAGCTTCTCCAGGTGAAAGCACCTCCACAAAATACATCACACACAGGCACGTGTGGAGGCGCTCGTGAGCGCGTACACACAGGTGCACACACACACACACAGGCGCGTGCACACACACACACACACACAGGCGCGCACACACAGGCACGCACGCATCCAGTGTGTGACTTTTGGATTGGGATAAGGAAACAACTTCCAACAATTTCTGGGGTGGCCTAGACATACTTCTGCCGTGTTATACTATGTATTTATGCGAAGAGGCAATCTCAGCATCGATGATTATAAAATCAAAATACCAATCAGCTCTGAAGAACGGTGTAGATGCTCTGTGTCCCACACATTAAATATTCAGCCAAGACCTACTCCTTAGGAGAAAGCCAGCAGATCCACCTCATTAGTATGCAAATTTATTTTCATCTTTAATCAATTGTAAAACTGCATATATACCAAAGACTTATTTCACAGTAAGTTTCTTAACGACTCTCAGTAGGCGTCTGACCTGTGCTCCTCTTTGATTCCTTCTACAAGTGGGGTCACGCTCAATGCTCTCAACGGTAAAGGGACCACAGGTGGAAACGGGCAAACCCTCTCTAACCCTCCAACAGCTGAGACGTCTCTCACTTTCAGCCATGGCCTGGGTAGTCCAGGGACTTGGCCTGAGACTAGCACTGTGTTTCTCTGGGGCGCTCCAGGCTTTCCGGCACCCCAGGGGTCTCTTTATTGAGGTGACGGCCCTGTGTGGGCCTGCGGATTGGCTGGGTGGACTGTCTTTTCAACAAAGGCTGCTTGCCCGGAGCTTGCCAGGTAGCCCCGTGAGGACTCCAGATTACTGGCTCGGGTCTGCAGCTCTTCCCCCTACACCCACAGTGACTGCCAGGGGAGGCTGAGGCTGCTCTTCATCGTGGCAACAAGAGCATTCTGGTTCGAAAGGGGAGTTTTTTTTCCTGGACAGGAGAAGGCAGGGGTAAAGGTGACGCTCCACAGGACAAGTGAACTGGGCGTGGAGGAATGAGGTAGGATGAAGCCAGGCATCTGAAGTGTCAACAGCCACCCCTGGCCCACGAAGTATGAGAAACAACCAGAGCTGGGGCAGCTACAGGACTCGCCTTCATTCATGACACACAATCTAGCACATCACAGCCCCCGCCCCTCGGGGCTGGTCCTGATCCTGTTCCCCTGGTTTCTCTGGGGGAGCACATCCTACAGATTTCCTTACCTATCGGGGGCGATTTTACCTTGTGGTGTAGGAACACAATTGAGAGATCCCCATATCAAACATAGTTGTGATCACGTGACCCGGGTCTAGCTAATCAGAAGAATGAAGCTCCATCTCAGGCATGGTGATTGGCTTAGAGGTAATCAGATGACAACCCTGAATGATCAAGAGTCTCTCTCTTAGACATGATGATTGGCTTCAGGATAATCAGGTGACCTAGATCTGCCCAATAAGAACCCAATCTGACACCACAATTATAATAAGGGGAAAGAAACCCCCTTTCCGGAGGGATTACTAGCCTTGGGACTGCTGCAGACAGTTCTGCCACCTCTGAGGATAGGCCTGTGAGTAAAGATAACACACCAGAGACACACAAAGGATCACAGGTCTGAGCTTCTATATCCAGCTGGCCTGAAGTGGAGGGGAGGGGAGCTTCCTGTCCACAAGAAAATGAGATCAGCCTCTGTTTCAACAATTGGAGTGAATTTCTTGTTACTTGTGACCAAATGAACCACCCCTCATGCAAAGAACATAGCAGATAATCCCCCTGCTGTCACTTGCCCTTGCCCAAGACAGCACTGAGGGGCTTCCTTCCATCCAGGCCCTGGCACCCTTTCCTCCTTAAAGATGGTATCACTCCACATCTGAGGCTCCATTCCATTTCCTTGCTAGGTATGTATGTGTGTGGGTGGCCTGGTAAGGGCAACTCAGAGCCAAGTCCCAGAATATCAGAGTGTGCCAATGTCTTCAGCATGCAGGAAGTGGGCTGGCCACATAAATCCTTTAGATCTCATCTAATCCCCTCAAGGGCAGGTCTAAGCGCCTCTTTGCAGATACAGAAGCTTAGAGAGCTTACCATGTCTCTACACTGCCCAAGATGGGTTTCTCAAATTGATGGAGCTGCTGTATTACATTACCCAGGGACTCTGGACTGCTTGTCCCCATGCCAGGAGTCAGGGAAGCTTCCCAGTTTCCATCCATTTTACAAGTAAAAAGCTTGAGAGTAACAGACCAGACCACCACTGCCACAATGTGTAGGAGCTGAGCTTTTAATGCCTCTGTCCCTAGGCAGGGGTGGGCCTGCTGGGGGCCCAGCTGAGGTTCTGTGGAGGAGGGATGCAGACTGAAGCTGCTCAATTCTGGCATCCCACAGTTCTTGTTGGCCTCAGAACTCTCTGGAACAAAGAAAAGACCAAATGCCAAGGAAAACAGCATATCCAGCAAGGGATCTGGGAACTGGATCCATGAGCATCCTAGGGATAAGGCCTAGTCAGGTCTCACACAGTTTTTCTGAGCTCTTCAGAAGAAGGGTGGCAACAGGGACTCAGCTGCTCCCTGAGGATGGGCAGATTAGCACGGCTTCCAGAACTCCATACTGGCCTGGAGCTGTTGCCACCTGGTGGCTAGTGTGGAGGAGCAACTGTGTCCAAAAGCCAAGAGGAAGGGCTGGGTCTCCACAGGCCAAGTAGATTGGAAGACATGAGCCAAGGATGCCACACTGGAGGAAGGACCCAGGCCTTGCCTGAGACCCCTGGCCACAGTGCTTTCTCAGTCCTAATGGCTGCAGCCCACATTGCTGTCCCTGTCAACCCTGTGATCCAGTTCCAGCCCTGCATAGGCCTGAAGCCCTGGGTCATTTGTAAAAGCCTACTGAGGCTAGGGAAAAGACCCTGTCTGAGCGCGTGGGCCCTGCCCAATTCCCAAGCAGTCACTAATGAGCAGAGACAATCAGATGGTTAGGTAATTATATTAATTGGTATTCTTTGTAACACAACTACCAGCTGTGCTATTTATATACAAAGTATTTGCACACACTCCCACACACACACACATACACACATTCTCTCCCTCCCTCCTTCCTGCCCTTCTTCCCTCCCTCACTTTTTCCTTCCTTTTTCCTCCCTCCATCCTCCACCTCTCTGTCTTTGAAGCAGCCACATACTGTCAGGGCCCAGGATTTGGAATATCCATCTGGGGGTGTGGGAGAAAACCGGGGTAGGGATGTAAAATTGCTTAGAGGTTCCAGCAAAACATGACTGGATCTTCCAGGTTGTGCATCTGAGGACGTACATGTTCCCTCGATCAATCCCCTCCGTCATACATCCACTCATTCAGTCACTCATTCCTCCCTTCGTCCAGCTAGCATTTCTTAATCAGCTACTGTGTGCTCCATTCTGACCTAGACACTTAGCCCTAAAGCTGGGACACTTTGTCATGTTCCTGAGAGACAAGCTGAGGGGAGGGGTACAGATCCCGCTGGCCCCTGGGGAATTGGGGACTCCAGCTCGGGGGTCTTGGTGGACGGATGTCCTTTCTCAGGCTGTCCCTGTTGAGTTGGGGAGCCTCATTTTGCTTTCACGAATTCATTAGAAACAAAGAAAAGAACACTGAGGGAGACTGCGTGACCTCATTCCAACGGGTGCTGCTCCTGCTGGGGGCTGTGGCTGGGGCAGGTGGGGGCAGGAGTCTCCTACGGTCAGCCACAGTCTCTGGCCAGGCAGGCTTAGGCCGGAGCCACCTGGCTGGTCTCCGTCTTGGAGACAGTGGCAGAGGCCTCGTCATCGCCCAGTAGGTTCTTGCCACAGCAGAGCGTGGTGAGCATGCAGTTCCGGAACTGGAAAGCAAGGAGTGCCAGTCAGGACAGCCCCCACCCCCACCCGCCCAGCCTCAGCCCCACCCTCAGCTTGTCCCCTCACTAAAGTCTGCTCCCTGGGGGAGCTTGCTAGATGTGTTGCCCCACCACCGAAGATGCCAGGGACCCCACAAGAGGGGTTTTTGTCATATGACATGGTGTCCTGTGGATGCTTAGGATCTTCTGTGAATGATCTCATTTAATTTGAGAGTTTGGGATTTGGCCCTCCTCCTTAATAGGGAAACTGAAGCCAAGAAGAGGGAGATATCTGACTCGCCCAAGGTCACACAGCCTGAATGTGGCAGAGCCAGGACTTGAATCCAGAGTCTAAGACCAGAGATGTCAGCTTTTTCTGCCGAGAAACTCTGGCTTTTCACAGCGGCTTGATCTCTCTCCTCCCAGAACTAGCATTTTTAGCAGCTTCTTAAGGTTTACAGTGGGACCATTCCATTCCCAGGCTTGGAACTACTTGACATTTTGTGGTTGTTTTTTGAGACAGACTCTCACATAGCCTAGGTTGGCCCCCAAATCACTGTATGGCCAAAGATAGCTTTGAATTTCTAATCTGCCTACCTCAGCCTCCTGAATGCTGGGATACAGAGGTATACTACCATACCCTGCTTGGGGGGTGGGGGTGGAGGCATGTCACTATTTAGCCCAGGCTGACTTGGAGCTCAGGATCCTCCTGCCTCCGTATTGAGCATGAACCAGCACGGCGGTGCACGCCTTTAATCCCAGCACTCAGGGAGGCAGAGGCAGGTGGATCAGTGTCAGTTCAAGGCCAGCCTGGTCTACAAAGCAAGTCCAGGACAGCCAAGGCTACCAAGAAACCCTGTCTCAAAAAACCCAAAGAGAGGGAGAAAGAGAGAGCAAGGGAGAGAGCAAGATTACAAGCATATGCCATTGCACCTGGCTTCCAGCTGACTTATAAAGCAGACTTCCAGGACCATTTGGTCAGATGTATCTCACAGGAACGGATGCCAGAGCTCCTGGACATCCTGGCAAACTCCCTGGAGGTTGCCAACCTGAGAGCTCCTGGCCCGCCAGCAGTCTGGCCAGGAGCCCAGACTGCCCCGTCCCCTTCCCCTCCCATTCATTCCTTCACCACCCCCAAGCCCCGCCTCATCCCAGGCACCTGCTTGTTCATCATGATGTAGATGACTGGATTGTAGATGGCGGAGCTCTTGGCAAAGAAAGCCGGCAGGGTCATCAAGATGGGCCCAAAGTCGGAGCCTTGGTGGGTGAAGATGTACACGGCCACACTAGCGTAGGGGACCCAGCAGATGAGGAAGAAGATGACCATGATGATGACCATGCGTGTGACTTCCTTCTCTGCCTTCTGAGTGGTGGCCGACTCCTGCTGCTGGGCTGCGGCCTGCAGAGGCACAGACCTGTGTCCAGCCCGAGCGTTTACACAAACCCGGGCGCCAGCTCTCGGCACCCAGCATGGGGCTGGGCGCCCACAGTAGAGGACCCCACTCATACCTCCTTGACCGTGAACACCAGCTGCCCGTAGCAGAAGAAGATGATGGTCAAAGGGATGGTGAAGTGGACCACGAACATGTAGATGACGAACGACTCGTTGTTGACCTCGGGCTTCAGAGTATAGTAGTCGATCCCACATGAGCACTGCATGCCCTCGGGGATGTACCTAGGGGTCAGTGCAAGGGACGGCAAGGCAGGAAGAGAACACGTGCTCAGCTGGACCTAAGCGTGGGGTCCACAGAGGCAGGAGCTTTCACAGAGGCAGGAGCTTCTGTGGGCTTTGGGAAGCATGGTGTCATTACCTGCTGGTCCCATCGCCAGGTGAGACTTATCCATCTCAGCCCTTGGGCCATTCTCAAGCTTCCTGCCACTTGGCCACACTCCTCTCCTCCAGCAGCTTGCTGCCCTCTGACGGTTTGAGTGAGGAGGCAGAGGGTGCTGGGGAGGAGGGCTGAGGCCCCCCCCAATGAGTACAGCAGTTTGGAGATGTGGGTCTCCTAGCAACAGCAATGCTTTCTACAGTAAGGGTGGGCTCGCTGCCATCTGTGGGACCCTGTGCAGCTTCTAGAATCGAGGATGTTGTGATGGTATCTGAGGATGGTGATATCGGGCTGCATTCAGAAACCCCGGGGTGCCATGGACTGTGTCTGCAGAGCTAGGTGAAGGTGAAGAAAGAGGCCAGGGGGGAGTGATGGGCTCTGACTCAGCAAGGGCCACTAGGTGGGCTCCCAGAGGATGGAGAAGAGATGTGAGTAGAGAATGGAGACTCTCTGAGGCTCTGGGTACCTAACAACCTGTCCGGGTATCCAAACCACTGTCCCTACCCCCTCTTACGTCACCAGCATTTGCAGACGGTAGCATGGAGACTGGATGAGGTCTAGTTCCTGGGGCTACGATGTCACCATGCAAGTTGGGAAGGTTCAGCTTCTCTAGGGGCTGAGGTCCCAAGGTCAGATAGAGAGCTGCCCATGCCCAGGAGAACTCAACCAAAGAGGATTGTAGTTGGGCCTTGGCTTAGCGAGGATTAGGGACTCTGCCAAGGTGAAGGGTTGGGGTGTCCAGGGTTCCCCTTGCCATGGGGCTCAGAGACAGAATCAGATTCATTACACCACTGTTGTCCCTCTCTTCTCCCCTGGCTTAGACCTTAGCCTGGGAAAGTCATCAGGATGGTTTTTAGGCGGCAAGACTATATAATGCCTGGAATCAACCTGCAGGCTCTATGTTCTGAATGGGAACCCCACAAAGGCCTTGCCAGACCCAGTGCTCAGTGCCATTTACCTGGACCAGCCGGCGAGGGGAGGAGCAGCACAGGCCATCGCCATGACCCAGGTGAAGGCCACACCCATAATGGCATGGTTCTCCCCGAAGCGGAAGTTGCTCATGGGCTTGCAGACCACTACATAACGCTCAATGGCCAGAACCACCAGGGACCACAAGGCAATTTCACCTGTAAGGCAGTTGGTTGCAATCAGTCCCCCAGCTCTGACCTCAGGCCACAGAAAGCAAACACCCCCAGAGAGGACAGGGCAGCAGGGAAGCCTCTGTTTTGAGACTTGAGCCAGGCCTTAAGGATGTAGTGGATTTGGACTGGCCAGGAGGAGGGAGAGGTGAAGAGCCTATGTGCCAGAGGAATGCCAAAGAGCCAGGAGCCTCTCTGTTTGGTTAGAGCTTTAGGTCTCATGAGAGACACCGCCTCAGAATGGCTGGAGCTGTGGCTTAGGGCCGGGGAAGAAGAGGGGTAAAAGGGGGCTCCAGACACCAGTTCACATGTCCCCCACAGAAGCTCAGTATGGAGAAGAGCCGCATAATCAACCAGCCTAGGACGTTCTGAGCAACGGGAGTGCTACCCACAAGAGTTCCTGATGGCCTGTGTGACCTGGGCCTGACCATGCAGAGACAAGCTCGCCAGCATGGCACCCCAGTTTCTGTCCAGAGACCGGGGACCGTGATTACAGAAGGTAAGGGAGATGTCCAACAGTGCCACCAAGGCAGCACCCCAGGCACAGGAGAAATAAGACAGCACCCTGGGGACCCATGCAAGCTGGACCCACCCATCACCCTGGCTTTGTGCTGTTACACCAACTTCTCCTACATCTGCTGGAGACACCTCTGGGTCCCAGCCAGGAGAGTGTCCTCCGGTGCCGGCCCTCCTGTATCTCTAAATGAGACTTCAGCCTGCTCCCTGTCTCACTTTCCTCAGCTAAACATGCTCCATGGTTCCTTACTGATTTTCCTTGTTGACTTTCCAGTCGAGTGAAAGAAAAAGTTTGGAAACACCTGGTGTGGCATGGTGTTCCATGCCTGTGAGCCCAGTACTTGAGAAGCTGAGACGGGAGGATCAGGAGTTCAAGTCCACCCTCAGCCACATAATTTAAGGACTGGACTATTCGAGACTGTGCGTCCCCTCCAAGACAGAAAAAGAAAAGAAACAAATGGATCCTTCGAGATTCTCTCTGTTGTGCAATCACTCATGATGGAGGTTAACAGGTTAAAAACAGATGAGTCTGCCCCAGCTCAGCAGCCTCAGAGGGTATTACACACACACACACACACACACACACACACACACACACACACACACACACACGCCCGCACCATGACTCCCCGGTGAGCCCTTGACCTCTCTGAACCCACGTTTCTTGCATTACTCGAAATGAGATAAGATGAGCGTTCAGTGCTCACTCTCAGCCACAGCCTAGCTCAGCACCACAGCGTTTGTCAGCGGATAAGCTCGGCTTTTGGATGATGAGACAGGAGTGGAGAGACCCATTACGCTGCCGCTGCCAAGCCGCAGACCCTCCCTGGGCCCTTTCACGCCCCCTTGGCAGCCCTCGGCTCCTACCGCCCAGTGTGGCGAAGAAGCCCTCCACGTTGCAGCCTGTGGGCCCAAAGATGAAGTAGCCGTGCAGGGAGGTGTAGAGCGTGGTGGTGAATCCTCCTAAGACCATGAAGAGGTCCGCCACGGCCAGGTTGAGCAGGATGTAATTGAGCGGGGTGCGAAGCTTCTTGTGCTGCACGGTAACGTAGAGCGTGAGGAAGTTGATGGGGAAGCCCAGCACGATGAGCAGGAACATGTACGCCGCCAGCATGGAGAACTGCCAGGGCTCAGCCAGGTAGTACTGCGGCTGCTCGAAGGGGCTGCGCACCACGCCCGTGACGTTGGAAAAGGGCACGTAGAAGTTGGGGCCCTCGGTGCCGTTCATGGTTGCGGCCCTCGACGCTGCCCCACGGGCTGTTCGTCGACGGAGACCAAGGCTGCCTGGCGAGCTCAGCCACCTATGGCTCCCACAGCGCGACTCCAGGCGCTGACCCCCCCCCAGACCCTTATAAAGTGACCTTCTCTGCCTAAGCTGGGGGCTGATTCAGCATCCGGGAGATATCATACTAAGAATACTAATCCCACTGCTGCCGCTGGGGCCTAATTGGCTTGCAGTGGGGCCAAGGTGACATCGGGTGGAGGCCCGATGGGGGTCTCATCTTGTCTGCCCCACACTCCCTCAGGAGTTTCTACCCCTGTCAGTCTGGTCGCCTCAGGCTGTGACTGGAATCTTAGAACCCTCAGTCCATTTCTCCACATTGCTCCAGCTGAGCACCCATTCCATCCCTTCCCAGGTTACCTTCCGACTCACACCGTCCCCCAGCCCTGACACTAGTTCGTTTGGACAGATCTGAGCTTTGTGTGCCTTCAGCTCTCCATCACCACCGGTCTCACACCACCCCAGGCCCAGCAGCTCCATAACTATTTGTTGCATTCAATTGGAATTTGCTCACTCACTCGTTCGTTAAACATTTATGAGCCAGCCTCCTGGGAGATGAGAGAGGCGGCCATGGCCCCGCTCAGAGTGCTTCTGGCTTGAGCAAGACCCAGCCGGGCGGGGGGGGAGGGGGGACGAGAGAGAGGACACATTCCAGTTCAGGAACAGATGGCCATGGGCTATGGAGATGGGACTGCGCTGCTGGGATGGGGTAGCGCATGGCCCCTGCATGAGGGAGCAGGATGCCGGGTTATTCAGGTGAGCGTGTGAGACCTGGAGGGCCATGGCGAGGGGCCTAATAGGTTCTGCCTTACCTAGAAGGCAATGGGCATACAGCTAGGTGGATCTTGGGGGCAGAGAGGATGACTAGAGATGTGGGCTGTGAAGCTTCGGAACCCTGTGCAGGCTGAGCTGCTGCTGCTGGGGATGCCAATCTGAGGAAGAAACTGGTCCAGGGCTAGGCCTGGTGTCCGAGGATGTGAGGCCAGCACCTCTGCCATGTAGAGGTGATGCCCAGAGCCCTCATGTGTAGGATGCTCTAGGATCACTGCTGGGCTGGCACGTGCGTACAGCGCCCACTGAGTCCCAGGCAAGGGATTGATTCTAGGGGCCCACAGGAGACAAGAAAGCATAGGCTGCAAGAAGCCAGCACCCCAGGAAAGAGATGGTTGTGAGTAGCAGTTACAAGGGGGCAGACAGGGAATACAAGAAAAGGTCCTGCTCTGCAGCTGTGCTGTACAGCCTATGAAGACCCCTCTGAGATGGCGATGTTGATCTAATGGCTGACGGCAGGAGAAAACGCCACACCACTCGCCACACGTGTGTCCAGGCAGAGGAACAGCCAGGACAAGGCCCTGGAACCTGGGTAGAAGGCTGGCCCCGGAAATGTTCATCTCTGAGCCTCGCGGCCCTTAAGCTCTCTCTTGCTCAGTGTCTTCACACCTGGGATTCCTAGATCTGTCTGCTTAGAAAAGCAAGCCCCTTCCCTGCAGGCCCCCTGTGTGAGAAAAGGAACACAGGGCTGGCTTTTATGTCAGGGGGAGGGGGTTGGCCTCTAGCCGTTTAAAAAGCTTGGCTTGGTGATTAAGACCAGTGTTAATGAGGTCAAGGTGGAGGTTCTGATTCTGACATGGCGCTGGTGGTCACCCCCAGATCTACCCTGCCCTGCACCCAGCTCAGCAACTTTGACAGCCTGCCTGGGCTTGGGACAGCTAGGAGGCTTCATTATGGTCTCCTTGGGGCTTTCACCCATCCCCTGCTCTGAGCCTGCCCAGTGAGTGAGTGGGCAGGCAGGGCCACCTCTGGAAGCACTGCCTCTCTCTAAGTTGGGTAACAGAGGCTGAGGTCACTGGAGTCTGTACACTGAATTGGCTCTGTGCACAAGCTCAGAGTGAGTTGAGAGGGTCATTACGAGTCATCAGCTCTGATTTGCCTAGTGCATCTTCACTTTTGGAGGCTACAGTGGGTCACCAAGGTCACATGACTGCCCAGCAATAGCCAGGGCTATAACCACAACCACACAGTCTTCTGGGGTTTTTATTGCCATCTCCCTACTTCCCCCATCAAAACATAGTTCTTAAGAGCGGCCTCCCTGCCTCATCCTAGAGGAAAGGGCCTGGACTGAGTCGCATGGACCCAGGCGGAGCGGTTGAGTACCCAAAGCAGATTCTCGCCTGTGTCTCTGAGTTACCCCAATACCCTGGAAAGCCCCCTCCCTGCTCTGGGCCTCTGTTTGCTGGGTCTGGGACACCTGGGGCACCACAACCATATCCAGACTGAGCCTGGCCTGCTGTCCCTACGCACACCATTAAGGCACAGTGGCTCCTTTGCAACCATGTTTCACTCAGGCCCTGGGCCCGTGCAGTGGCACCCCTTCCTGAACACCTGCTTCTGCAGGCTGATGAAACTCATCATCAAGCAGTCCTTCGGCTTCTCCTTCCAGTCTCCGAGGAGAGCCACCCACTATCATCCACACCAGGGCCCAACCCCATTGTCTATATTTTCTGCAATCTGCACTTGTCGCCACCTAGACCATCTTGTGGCCCTTCCACTGACCCGCACTCATTTGCGTGTCTGGGAATGCAGGCAGCTGAGCCTGTCTCTCTGTGTGTTCAGCTCTTGGTCCACAGCAGTAGGTGCTCAAAACACACCGTCCCTGTGGGCTAGGAACCCTCAGCAGAGGTGAAGTTTGCACAGTCTGGCTGGCCTGCAGTCTGAGCTCTCTTTCTCTCAAGTTAGGGGATTCCAGAGGCCAATGCTACACAGGAGTGTCGGTTACTGGAGCCGGCCAGTGGAGAACTGTGAGCCACTTGGATGCTGGGGCCCGGGGAGGCTGTCTCTGAGGCTAGCTACAGCCACGCTGGCTCCTCAAAGCACATTCACAGGGCACTGAATGGAGGATTAGGGACTTAGCCGTCAGCGCTAATAGCTCTTAAGCCTCAGAAGGAAAAAGTGCTGCTGGGTCAGCAGGCCCCTCCTTTTCTTCTCACCTGTGGCTTAGTCCTCTTGGTTGTGTCACCAAGGCCCTGCTGAGGACATCAAGGGAATGTGGAAAAAGACAGGCTTTCCTCCTTATGCTCCTAATGTTTGCTTCACAGACTTTGCTGAGTGCTGTGGCATCTCAGGGCAGCAGGCAGGGGGAGGCTGCGATTAGCTCCTATCCCCACCTGCCCGGCCCAGCACAGAGGCATAGCACAGAACACCTGACTCTCAGGCAGGGTTTGGGGGGGTCTTCTGGCCTTAGCAGCCTTTCAGATAGAATCTATGGAATCACAGGAACACAAGTGGCCAGGAGGACACCTGTAGACCTCAGACAGATAGCGTCAGAGCTTTGGGGCAGGCCCATGAGTCTGGAGGCTGGCTGGCATTGACGAGCCACTGTGGGTCACGGCAGGGAAAGAGCGCAATTGCACTTGTGCTCTAGGCAGGTGTTTGGAGTCTGGGTGAAGGATGGGGGGAGCAGTTCCAGGGTAGAGGCCTGGCCCAGTGTAGGAGCCTTGCCTGCTGGTGGCCTCAATGCCCCATCACCTCTGCCATGGATGTGTAACCCTCAGGCCAGGGAAGAGGTACAACAGAGGGCTGTCAAACCTCTGAGGCAGAGCCATGGGGACTCCTAGCTTCAGCAGCCGCATAGAGGGAAAGGTTAGAAAGCAGACACCCAGACACCCCCACTGGTTGTAGACCACCCAGTCAGCTCCCATCTTCTTCGTCCTCCCTGTGGACATGACACACAGCATCAGGATGTGAGCCCTGACAGAGTCTCACCAGCCTGTGTGGCTCCAGCAGTCACCCCTCTGTGATCTCAGCCTCTTCTTGGCAAAACTGGTACCTCCAGGTCCCTGTCCTAATTTCCTTCAGACCGGGTAGGACTCAGCCCAGAGGAGAGGAGAGAACAGAACCCAGTGGGGCAGGGCAAAGGTGGGTATGGGTCCGACTCTGGTTCAGCATGTACGTTTGTTCAAGCAGTCACTGAGCCTCAGTTTCACTATCCGTGAAAGGGCTGCTCAGACCAGACATGCTGATTCGTCAGCAAGAACCGAAGCTGTGGCCAGGCTCAGTCTCGAGAGCGTGGCTCCCAGCAGGGCTCTCCTGAATTTCTGTGTTATGGGCTGAGAGGATGCCATCTCAGGCAGCCCCCTGCCTCTAGCCATAGACCATCTGATCTGTCACTGTGATTGACGCCTGTTGGGGAGCTGGCACTGTTTCTTCCCTCGCCCCACTTTTTTCCCAGGCATATGCAAATGATTTCAGTTCAAGGCACGCGCTAATGGAAATCCTAACACATTAATAAATGTTTAGTGCGAGAGAGAGCATGCATGATCATAAGCAATTAGACACTAGACGGAGGAGTTGTGTTGGCACAACTGTCTGGCTCCCTCCTTCATTCCCTCCATCATCTCCACAGAGGCAGAGGGGGTGGGGAAGGTCTGGACCTTGCCTGGCTCCCTTTTCCATTTCCACAGAGGCAGAGGGAGGCTGGATAGGCCTGGACCATGCCTGGCTTCTGTTTCCCACTCTACCCTCATCTCTTCATCCCAGCAGCCTCACAAGAGGTTCTTCAGCATGACTCCTAGCTGCTCCATCTCCCTGCCTGTTAAGATAGTCAGGGAGAAGGTGCTGTCTGTCCGTGGGCAGGTGGCACGCAAGAGGACTACAGGGATTACAACTCTAGGCGGCCCCTCGTGGCTGGAAGCCCTTGGGTCCTAGCACCTGCTGCTCTTTCTAGTCATAACCAGCACAGAAGTCCCCAGTGTGTGCGAGTTCTTCTTCCAGATTCTGCCTGACGCCCCTCCCACGCCATTCTGTGGATCCCAACTGCAGCCACCATGCTTCAGGCCCCGGAGTGAAGGGAAAGAGGTGCAGGCTGAGTACCCTGTGGGAGTGGACTGGTGTTCAAGGTGGGCTCTAGGGGCTCCAAGGACAAGACTATTCTTTGGAGCCAGGTATCT